TGCTAGTGTAGGTATTTGTATATCCATACCTACACTAGCAGATCCGCATACGAGACTGACTGACAGATTAATACGTTGTATATTTAAATATTCAATTTATAAAAATATAAATCCACAAATAAAAATGATAACATAAATATAAAAAAGTAAAACTTTATAGTATGTATCTATTTCCACAATTGTTACAAAAGCTATAAACGATCAAAATCTCTGCCTGGCAATTCTCACAATTTATATGCTGGATATCTGTGCCCATATTAAAGTATTCATATTTATAAAATTGGCTTGTAATGTTTTGACCACGATGTTGACTTGTGACTTTATTTTCTCTTCCTCCCCCCGTCGTATAAATGGAATAACAACACATTTGTACGGAGAAGGTGCAAGTTTCTACGGAGAAGGGTTGGCCCGTATGGGCCACCGTACAATCGGGTGTTGGGGCATCAATTTCCCGTTTGTAATACAAAATGACTGAAAATTGCAAATTTCGCAAGGTTATATTATCGCATTTTACAACTGATTTCACAACGAAACTTTGGAATATTACTAATTTTGTGACGCTCTTTCAAGCTGTGATGAAATTTTTGTCAAGATCAAAATTTAGTCTATAAATTAATGCAAATGGTCCATTGCAAATATAAATGTTTTGAATATATATATATATAAAACAAGCTATGTGGAGTTTACATTGATTCGTCATTAAAAGTCCAATAATTGAATTAAGCAAATTAAAGGCTATTTAAATTATTGAATGCTGCCAGGCATTTCAAACAACTATGGCTTTGCTGGGTGATGTTTACTGTATGTAAACGTTGTTGTTATAGGCATTAATAAGAACATAAAGTTAACAGTGTTTTAGACATTTATACTAAAACTGTCTGTGCCAGTGTAGGTAGTATGTAGAAATGCTGTGCTGAGTGGTTATTAAACCTTAAAAAATAAGTAGAAACTCAACGTTTCGAGCGAAGGCCCTACTAACTCTTGACGAAGGGCCTTTGCTCGAAACGTCGAGTTTCTGCTTATTTTTTAGACATTTGAAATATGATTTTTTGTGTCTCAAGAATAAATGCTGGAAAATGCTCGTATAGCCCTAGAAGTTCCAAAGTTTCTGGAAGCATGCCGTCACACTGGCCCGTAAGATCCTCCGAGTTGCGAAGTTCAGCCTTCGGTTGCAACTCCTACACTTCCTGTTGCAACGTCTACTATGAAATGTTTTGAAACCACTGACAAAGTACCTTCACTTGAAAAATTTGTTTCTACTTTTCAGGTAGTTGTATCCGTCTCACACTGCAAATGTTTGGCACTGTACCTACACCATAGACGGATTTCTGGAGGGTGCTACCCCGCAATATTAGCTATAACCCCCCCAAACAAAATGTCCACCCCTCCAAAAAAATTTCAACCCCAATATTCGGCATAATAAATAAATAATTAAATAGTCCACTCCAACGTGCAGAGTGTTGATGATACAAAATAAACGTAGTCCTGAGTACACTCGAACAGAAAAAGACAGTGCAACACTCTGAAACTAATCGCTCCTCGCTTGCATTCACTGGTTTATTGGAGCAATTGTAAAGTTTTGAAACTCTATTATCTTCCCTAAATAGAGTTTGCAGTGCCTTGTCATGCGAATAGCTTGCACGCAAGGAACGTTTGGAATTTTTACCAACACTATTTTTAGTTTTTAATTCTTTAACAAATTGACTTGCCTAGATTTAATCTTTACGCCCCAAATATTATTTACATCGGAGTTGCATCATAAATTGTACTCAGATTCAAACAACACAATGTCAATGACTTTATAAAAGTAAAAGCATATTGTGTATTGGCCTATTGGGTTTACACTTTTACAGGTTCTATTAACTTTAAGTCTTTAACTCTCTCAAGTCTCAACAGACAATCGCACATGCCAAATCCATTGATATGACAAATTGACAACTTCAAAAAACTTATTTTCGAAGCTATAAATCATGTTTTTTTTTCAAATTTTTCCTGGGATACTTTGTTTTCTGCTCTCTAGACTCCCCCTCGCAGCTCTAGTGCTCCACCCCTAGAATATAGACCTTACTGGGGTTTGGTGACACTTTGTGTTGCTTCAGTCACCTGCTAACGGCTCACCCCCCTAAAATTTCTGGCACCACCCCAGTAATAAATATGAAAATCCATCTATGACCTACACTGCCTGTTTTGAGAATCTTCTTCTGCTCACAGTTTCAATCCTTGCTACCTACATTGGCACGCTAAGTTGCTAACCCACCGTTCGAAATTAATAATGGGCTATTGCATTTAATATACACACATCCTCTGTTGACCGGGATGCATTCCATGTAAAGTCTACGCCGAAGATAATGCCAATATTAACTATAGATAGTATTGTAGTTTGCCAAACTCATGCCGAAGATCTTCGGCATAGGCTACTTAAAATGCACCCTGGTCTGTTGAGGACCTCAGAATTCTTCAGGGTTAGTCAAATATTTCTGCTGGAATTCTTCAGGGTTAGTCGAATATTTCACTGGAATTCTTCGGGGTTAGTCGAAGATCCAGTTGAGGAGTCTGGAGTTCTTCATGGGTTCAACATTTTCAGAGTGGAATTCTGCAGAGGGTTCATAAAAATCTAAATTCTTTAGGGTGAGGTTACAAAAGAGAGGTCCTCAACAGGGGGGTTCGGATTTTAAATGCAATAGTTTCCAACCTGGTCTGTTGTACTTACTCAGGGTCTGTGGAATCAATACCAGGCAAGTTTGAAATTCGTGTCTTCGCATTCTGAGAATTTAAAAGAAAATGAAACATTCATGTCCTATTTTAAATCCAAGTCCAATGAAGATTATGCACTTGTGACTTGTACAACAAAGCAAAGAAAATGAAGAGTAGATTACAGTACTCACAAAATCAACAAGGAAGAACAGTGCCAACAGCAGAGCACATATAACAACACAGGCAAATATACCAAAATCTAAGACGCTAAAATGTGAAGGAAGCATTTCACAGGATACTCTACCAAACGAGAACGATCACTGTTCAAAAAATACAATGAGCATGCAAATATTAAAATATTGACACGTTTTTGACTCACGGATGTTGCGAAGCAACATCTGTGACACAGAATAGATAATAGGACCAGAAGTCTTACTCAAGCGGAAACATGTCCCATCTTTTATACTGCGCATGCGCGAGCTAAACAAGTGTAATGCAGTGTTGACAATAGAAAATTATATTGGGAAGTTGTCATTTCTACAGTAAAAAC